ACCTATAGTATTCCTATAGTATAGCTATTATAACATCGAACATTTCGGGTTTTGTGTTTTGGAAACTTTAGTCTCATCAGCCATTTGGCCATTCCGCCGACATCCCAAAATGCAGAAAAACACTGGCTCTGAGGCTCTGCGTAGTGAACACGCACAAAAACCCGGGCAGCAGCCCCGTCCTGTTGTATATGTTTATATATTATATGTTTGTTTATGTTTGTCCAATGTATATTTGTATATATCCCCTGGTAAACTAACATAACTATGGAAAATAGCCACTTTTTGAATAGGTAAATCAACTATTTCTATGGGCCATGGCTTCCATAGCAAACTGTAACAAATTACCAGAGAGTACCATTCATTGGGGAAGGCTGCGCCAGGACATCGACGATTCAGATGACGACACTTAAACACATCTGGCTAGCGGCAAGCTGGGCAGTGAGCGGTCACAGGTAGTGAAAATGGCTGTCACCCGGATCAATCGTCCACTAACCATTTGTAGGGGATTTGCCATTGCCACGTTTGATTGCAGGGCAACTAGTTTTTCGCACATCAATTTTGGTGTACCCATTTTGGACCCATACTCCCCGGAGCAGGGAGGAATGCTGACCCGCTGGCCGATGGTTGGTGGTTTTGGACATTTTTGGAGGTCCGCAGAAGATTGAAAAGCAAATTTGCTACGCAAACGGTGATCGGAACATCGAAATTTTCGTGTCTAATGCCATGTCTTCTCCCGTTCTGAGATGCTCTGAGGATCTATCTTAGAATCTTGGGAGCTATGTTTTTCCACCTTTTTCATAGAAACTACTTAGTGAATAGAGATTTGTCCTTGGTGACCACCCAAACAGCTGGGATAGGTGTCTTGATCCATCCCCAGATACCCGGAAATCAAAAGTGGCTGGAAAATCCCTTTAAAATGAAGGCTGGTTGGTGGTTTGGAACATTTTTTACTTTCCATAATATATGGGTAAATTATAACGACCTCACTACGACCTCACTGGAATCAGGGTTAGTAAGGGGAATCATCCCAAAATGGCCTTATTTCAGGTTAGTGAAATATTATAATTTACCCAGATCCTTCCCATTGACGAACACCATGATTTTTCAAGATGGGCACATTGCACCACCAACCAGAAGGTCTTAATGGGAAATCATCTATAACTTATGGGATTTTCTGGTGCCACGTTTGTGCCACGGCTATGAATCATGGATTTTTTTCGGCTATGAATCAAGAATGTGGCCCGAGCCATAAAATTCCTATTGCGGTGTGAAGCTGTTCAAGTCCATTACATGGTGAATCCTGGTGAATTACAATTAGTGGTTGATACTTAGTCAGTGGTGATAGTTACCCTCTGGTTATGTCAAAATAGCTATTGAAAATCACCATTTTTAATGGGAAAATCAACTATTAATGGTCATTTTCAATAGCTACGTTAAATTACCAGAGGGTAGTTAATGTTAGTTACAAGTTACCACAAATGACAAGTCTGGCTTCTGGATCCTTGCAGTGGGTGAGAAGTACTTGTAAGTTTGGTTGCTAAACTCAACCATGTGTGCCTGGTCCAAAGCCACAGAACCAGCCACCGTGGGGGTGCCCACAAGAGGCTCTTCGAAACTGCGGCGGATTTTCATGGCGAGCCTAGGTGATAAACTGGTGATGGTTGGCTGGAAGACCTCTGTAAGACCTTGGCGGTATGTTTGGAGGAAACTTCTGCAGTTGTAAAAAAGTACCAGTGCGTGCCAGTGCTTTCCTCTAAAAAAAAAGTTTGTTCCCTCAAACCAAACCAATTCATTGTTGTTTGCAGGTCTTTTTTTGGACATCTACAGATGAGCAACGCTTAGAGGTTTCGGGATGTTTCTGAGGTCCTAGGCCGATGGTCGATGGCCAGAGGATGTGTTTCCAAGATAAATTGGACGCCCGATTTAAACCATGTCCTTGTTTGTTCTAGTAGCAGATGTAGCAGGGATTCCTCATCCTTCTTGATCTTGCTCCTGTCCTTCTTCTGGACGCAGATGGTGTGCCACCATGTAGTATGTTCAGGTTGCGCTGAAGCCTAGGGTTGTTTTCCCAGCTTCAAAATAGTACCACCCAGGCTGTAAAATCATATCATCCAATAGAGCCAGTTGTCATGTGGTTTTTGGAAAGTTCCCAGTCGTAACTTTCAGTGATCCTATGGAAGTTGAAGAACCTGTTTGAATGCCATCCAGTTGGACAAGGTCTGAACCAACTAAATAGCTGGTAACTTTAAGCACAGTGGCTATGTTCCTACCTATCCTGTGATGTTACAAGCTATATATATATATATACTAAACGTTACTAAAGACGAATCTTGCATCCCTGATTCATATTGCAGCCAACGAAACTATGCACGAAATCTCGGAATGCCAGCAGTTTCAAAGTCAAACTGCGGCAACTCCACTCGGTCTGGTGGCAAAAAGGGAGCATCAGGCTTCATTGGTAGTATCCTCTGGCAATCTGTTAAAGTTTGCCATGGTATTTTCCATGGCCCATTTAGTTTGATGATTTACCTATTGATGGTTATACTCCAGTTATGTTCCATGGCAGTTTCTGCTAGCTATTACCAGAGAGTTCATTGAGCTCCAAATCTCACCAAAGTTCAGCCAGAGCTCATCAAGAAGTCCAACTTATGGCTGGCTATGGCTCAATTTTTTTGGCACACGGTCGAAAGGTGGGTGCAATATTAAAGATAAGCAACTGCGCGAGGCAACTTGGCACCCCATGATTGGCCCCACCCCCATAATTTTGTTGCATTTTGTCTTGCTAATTTACCATCTGGTTGTTTAACATAGCCATGGAAAATCCCAACCATAAATGGAGGTTTCTAGCTGGGAAAATCATCTATAAATGGGCCATTTTCCATGTTCTTATGACATGTCAGTAGGCATGTGTTGCTTGGGACTTTGCTTGATTGAAGATCAGGCCGTTATTCACTGCAGTTTGAGGCTCAAAACCCCCAGTGTTGGCTGGGGGTAGGTTGGCTTTGGCCAGTTGTTGCTGGTGAAAGGTGTCAACATGGACCTCAAAGCGTTGCTCCGCAGAGCCCACATGTTCTCTTTGGAGGACTTCAAGACGCCGTGGGCCTCTGTGAGGGAGCTAGTGGTTATAGAGACCCTTGATGATAAGGGTAAACCACAGGGAGAAGCCCTTGTCCGAATGGACCAGCTTTACCAAGCTGACGCAGACGGTGCCTTTGCTAAGGTAAGCTATGTGGCCTGCAGTGATGAGTACTACCAGTGGTGGGTGGACCACGATATGGGCACCAATACCTTCCACCATTTTTGCAGGCATGACACGCTCAAGGGCTGCATGGCCAAGACAGGGCGTGAAGGGATTGTCCATGTGCTTCAGTGGACTCCCGTCACTCGGCCTGAAGCTGAGACCGTTCTGCGCGAGTGGGGCTACTCACCCAGCTTGCTCGGGAGGACCCCGAGGTCGTTGCCTGCGCCGCTTCCTGATCGAAGAGTTGTGAGTGAGTCGGCTTCCAAGTCATCGCCCTTGAGACCGCCACCAGGGCTGGAGAAAGCGAGAGCTCCGGCTCTCAGGAATCTGGAAACTCGACCGGGGCCTGATCAAGATGAAGAACATGAGGAGGAAGAGGAAGCACATGACCTACGAGTGAAGAAGAGTGGTAGGGCCAGGCCTGTTTCGCCACCACCGCCTCCTCCAAGGAAGCAACGCCCTCAGGATTCAGGAGGAGCTGCACTTGACAAGATGTTGGATGAAGATCCTCATGATGCTGACAGTGACAAGTTGCGTGGGGATGCCCATGAACGCCTGGCCACACTGCGGGAGGACCTGCAGAGGCGCAAAGCGGCTAGAGGCAAGTCTGACCCAGGAGCCGTGCTTGCAACTCGTGCAGCTGCAGTGGCCGAGACCGCTGGGAAGAAAAGGAAGTCATCTCAGGGCGACAAGATGATCTCTGCACTCACCAAGGCCCTCAGGAAGAAGACCGTGAAGGAGGAGATTGATTATGGTGATGAGGCTGGCCACTCAGGTTCTTCCGATGGATCAGATTCTGAGGAAGATGAGAAACGCCTCCTAGGTGGTAGCCTAGGATCAGGCTCGGCCGTGGCCAAGCAACGTAAACTAAGGCAGCTGAGTGAGAAGAAACCAGGACGGCTTCTACAGACAGGGTACGCATCGATGCATGAGCAGGTGGGCACGTACTTTGGCAACGATGAGGCCAACAAGGATGTGCTCACCCCAGTGGCGCTCAGGTATCTCCTGAGTTATGCCTTGCCGCAGTTCCGCAATGGAGTCAGCCACGACAAGTACCGGGAACTCAGAACTCTTGCGACATGCCTGGATCACCTCGTGGCTGGTCAAACAGGACAGGCGGGAGATTTCCTCTTGCAGAGATACAAGGCACTGTTGATGACTCAACGAGATGGGAGCGATGCTGCAAGCAGGTTCATCGAGCTCTTGCCGGAAGAAGACATGCCCACTATGGCCAGCTCTAGTGAGTCCTACTTGGCGAGGAGCCTCGCGGTGCACCAGGCGAAGTCGGATGAGTTGTTGAGGAGGGCCTCAACCTAGGGACTCGGAGGGGGGGGAAGAGCAGGGCAACTTCCTCCCCTCAACTCCACCTGCAGTCAACCGAGAAACAATCCCTGACAGTGAAAAGGAGCCCAACTCCGATGAGAGAAAAAAGTGGCAGCCGAAGCCCACGTCGAGATGTACGAGATGGGAGCCTGACCAGACCAGACGTGAGGGATCGAAGGGTCTCCTTCGAAGACGAGAGGGGGAGACCCCTGGCCCATCAGATCCCGGCGGCCTCAACCGGGAGATTCAAAGCACTGAGAAATTCAGTCCCGCGCCGGGATGGGGAAAGTCGGAGCCACTGGAAAAGCAGAATGATGACACAGCTGGCACAGGAGGGGCCAGCCAAGGAAAGGTAGATGTTTTTCTCTCGCAGTCAGCTTCAATGTTGGCTGCCGAGGTCAACGAGGGTTGGCCTACCGTTTGCCCAGTGCTTGCTGGGGCCCCGGTGCCTGTAAGTCCACGTGAGTGGGAGAAGGGTCATGGCAGAGGCCGTGTGGCCAGCTCTTGCTCGGTGCATGCCGAACGTACAGGTGGTAAGGCAGATGTTGTGGCCCAGGAGAAGCCTCTTTCGCCGGCTGCTAAGGGGGGCTGGATGAAACAATCCAGTGCGATGCCCTTGGACGCGAGCGGTAGTGGAGGTGAGTTTTTGGGATGCGAGCCTAAAGGGACCCCAAGTGTTTCTGAGTCTTTTGCAACAATTTTTCAAATTAATAAATTAAGGTCACTCTCCTTTGAAGCTTTGTGCAGAGCTGTTGATGAACTCCCTAAGAACAGTTTGCAAGTGGGAATCTCACTGGCTCAGCTCCTGCTAGCTCATCCGCGAGACGGAGACCACGTGATGGACTTTTTGCGCCAGACAGAGAAAAGTTTTGCTGACACGCCGACCCGAAGGGATTTGCTACCCTTCCAATTTTGTCCTGCAGTAGGAGCAGCCATCAAGGTGATTTCCCTTTTTCCCGTCACACCATTGGGTCTTGTAAATGTTGATGTTGCGGTTGTAAAGAAAATGCCAAGACAACAAGCACGTAAGCTGTGCCTTGAAGGGATGGTTCAGTTGTGGCGTTGGTTGGTGGTGACCGTTCTTAATGGGGAATACTTAGATTGGTGTGGGGCCCCAACTTTGTTGCCTGCTAAACCCTCCTTAGCTCAACTTGCTGCCCTTGAGATGATTGGGGAACATGTACGGGATTTCTGTGGTAGCCCACTTGAGTCTTGGAACCTTCCCAATTTCAGGCAGTTAATGCAATCAAAAAGTCTTGATTACTCGGGGGATGAGGTCACCCATGCACTTCCCTTGCGCCTGCAGGAGTTGCAGCCAGGGCTTCCTGATGCAGCTGTTGGTGGCAGCCTGGATGCTTTCAGGACGGCTGACAATGAGGTGCAGGCGTGGCTGGGGAACCCAGAAAAAACCCTTAAACCACGTGAGATGTGGCCATCAAAGGTCCCAACTGCGAAGATAAATGCAACCAAATCTGAGTGGTATCGCGTTGTGAAAGAACTGCATCAGCGGAATATCCTGGCAGTGATCCCGAAGGAGGAGATCTTTTCAGTGGATGGTGTCATGGTTTTGAACGGTGCTTTTGCCGTTTCTAAAAGTGGGGTTGCTGCTCCAGGTGAAGTTCGGATCACACGTTTTATCATGAACATGACACCTTCAAATGCCTATCAAGTTTTGATGAGAGGGGACCTCCTTACCTTGAGTAGTGCCTCAAATTGGGCGTCAATTGTGCTGCCTCAGGACCACTGTCTCCTCTGGTCATCCGACGATCAGAAGGGAGCCTTCTACGCTTGGAAGTTGCCTCCAGCTTGGCGTGGCCTGATGACGTTCAGGTGGCCGGTGCCAGGGTCACTGCTGGGGTATCCCAGTGAGTGGGTGTATGTCTGTTCAAAAGTTATACCCATGGGATGGTTAAATGCGGTAAGCCTATTTCAGCACCTCCATAGGCAACTGGGGCTTCAACCACCCCCTGCAGGAGCAGGGTTCCAGGAATGGCAGGAGTGGCGACGTGACAGGGCCGTGCCCCAAGACTCACAGCACCAGGTCACTCACTGGATTCAGTATTATCTTGATGATTTCGATGCCCCTGAAATTGTTCACACTGCTGACATTGCCTCCTTGCAAGGGACTGTTTCCGAGTTGCAGCGCCGACAGAGGGCGGCTTATGATGTCAATGGGGTGGCCATTTCCCTGAAGAAATCTCAAAGCAGGGAAACAAAAGTCGTGCGTATGGGGGCTGAGATTGATGGAGTGAAAGGTCTGCTGTCTGCTCCCTTGACAAAAAGACGAGAGGTAATCGGGTTTGCTTTGTGGCTCTTTGGACAGCGTTTGCCCCTGGCGAAGGGCGCTCTGATGGTGTTGGGCAGAATGGTGCGCTGCTTTGAGTTCAGTGAGTTCAGGCGCCCCCTCATGAGTGCCCTGAGGGACTGCTGGCCGACTGTGCCGCCACCTGTTAGGATGCCGCTAAAGAGGGAGACGATCCGTTCTTTGATCAGAGGCTGCATCCTTATGCCCATGGCAGTTGCCAACTTGAGGTCTCAGGTAGATGGGCTGGTGAGCGCCAGCGATGCATCAGAAACAGGAGGTGGTTTGTGTGTTTCTCATGAGTTAACCGATGAAGGACGTGCCACCTTAGAGACCCTCCAGAGTGGCGCGTACGCTGAGTCAAGGATGAGCCCTTTCCACGCGGCAGGTGAGATGCCTGTAAAGGACCCAAAAGGTCCGAAAGTGTTTGTGCTTTCGCTTTTTGATGGAGTGGCAGCAGTCATGTGCGCTTTGACAAGGCTTCCTTGCCAGGTCGTGGGCTTTGCCGCGTCTGAAATTGACCGTGAATGCAAGCGGCTAGTGAGAAAACGCTGGCCTGGCGTTATCGAACTTGGCAAGGTTGAGGACATCACGGACACGGTGATCACGTCCTTGGTGAACTCGCTGGGTTTTAAGATTGATATCTTGCTCATCTCTGCGGGGAGTCCCTGTCAAGATCTCACAGCGTTGCTAGCTAACCGAAAGGGCCTGGAGGGGAACAGATCGAAGCTGTTCTTTCATATCCCACGCATCCATGGACTCTGCAAACGCCGTTTTACGGGCCGCACAGCCCTGCTGGTGGAGAATGTGTACTCGATGACAGCGGAGGCACGAGATCAGTTTACGGAAGTTTTGGGAGTGAGACCCATCCTGATATTGGCAAGCGATTTCTCTTGGGTAAAAAGACCACGTTTGTATTGGGTTGACTGGGACATTGACCCTCAGGCAGATGAGAAGCTGATTGACGAAGGAACTTTCCTGCGCTGGAAGTTTCCAGATGTTAGGCAGGAGCATGGCCACTGGGTTGACCCAGGTTGGGAGCATCTTGGGCAGGAGTGCCTCCCCACCTTCACTAGAGCGCTGCCACGTGCAACAGCGCCGTTGCAGCCAGCGGGCATCGCCACCGCGAGTCATGAAGCTCGACAACGTTGGACACAGGACCGGTTTCAGTTCCAGGTGTACCAATATGAAAACCCCCATTTACTTTGGATGGGATCTTGTTGGCGTTTACCTAGCCTGGTGGAAAGGGAACGTTTGATGGGTTTTGATGAAGGGTATGTTTCAAATTGTTTGCCCTCTAAAATGTCTGACGCTGAAAAGTTTCGGGTAGGTTGTGGCATGATTGGTAACACCTTCCACGTGCACGCCGTAGGGGTCTTGTGTCATGCTTTGATTAAAAGTCTTTTCGCTTGCACTGAACCTAGAAACATAGCTATGATGGTTAGAAGTGTTGGCACTGCTCCTGCTGGATGGACTGAAGTACCGAAGTTTGTTAAGACCACACAACCAGACCCCCAATGTGCCCTTCTTGTCCATGAAATCCTGCGGCAGGGGGATAGGGCTGGCACGGATATTCGTTTGGATGTTGGCATACCTTTTCGGTTCAAGGCATTTCCCCGAGCGGGACTCCGCACCAGCTATTTCGGCTGGCGTATAGTTCACGGCTATAAGTGGAAGCAAGGGGTCGTAAATAGTCTGCAGTGGAGGCTGCGTAGGCTAGCCAACTACAGGAAAAGGGTGTTGCACCTGGTCGATTCCCAGGTGGTGGCCAGCGTCGTAGCCAAAGGACGAACGTCCTCCTTTCGTCTTAGGAAAAGTCTCCAAAAACTGAACTGCCTCCTAGTGACAGCTGGGATTCGACTCTCTATTGGATACTGCCACACCTCAGAAAACCCTGCAGACATACCATCGCGATGGTCAGGAACCAAGAAAACCGCCTGCAAAGGCAGCACAAAAGAAGGGGCCTGAACCTGCGGGAGTCGCTCGTAACGCCCCAGCTGCTGAAGCGATACCAGTTTGCCCTGATCCACGTCACCCAGTTCTTTGCTGATTGTGCAATGGCTGTTTCAGCCATGGAAGACCTGGATGAGGCAGTGTGCAGTTGGATCGAACACATTTTCTTTGAAGGCGAGTCTAAGAGCTTGGCAAGTGATGGCTTGGCCAGCATCCAGTACCATCTCCCACCAGCTGTGGGGAACCTCCGTATGAGCTGGAAGTTGGCAAAAGCATGGCAGAAGATTGAGCCACCGGAAAGAGTGGTACCTATTAGCCCTTTGCTCACCCGTGCTTTTGCAGGGGCATGTATCATAGCAGGGAAAGTGTCCGAAGCTGCTTGCATCTTAACCGCGTTTGACGCGCTGCTCCGGCCGGGTGAGATCTATCTGCTCAAGGTTAAGGACATATCCTTTTACTCGCAAAATGCTGTCATCACTTTGCGGGACACAAAAACAGGAAAACGAAAGAGTTCAGCTGAAATGGTGGTGGTGGAAAGCCACCTGGCCCTGAAGTTCCTCAGACGTGCCTGCCAAAATCGGGCGCCCAACAGCCCTCTTTTGGTTGACGGTGCACCATCATTCCGCCAATTGTTCAAGAATCTGGTTGCCCATTTCCAACTTACAGGCCTCTTTGCAGTGTATTCTCTCAGACGGGGAGGAGCTACCCATGCCTTTTTGATGCATGGCAGCATGGAAAAGACGCTCCTACGAGGGCGTTGGTCTAGCACGTCCACAGCCCGAATCTACATACAAGACACAATCGCTACAGTTTCTCAACTGAAACTAACACCAACCCAACGCATGCATGCTAGGTTGGCCGCTCAAGCTTTGGATCCATGATGACACCCGGCTTTGCCAGAGTGGAGACCGTGGAAGGGGTCTCTTGTTGCGCAGTGAATGGCTGCTGGTTCCAACCTTTCTTTGTTTGACCAGCGATCGCTGGGGCAGCTATCCATGGACCATGGATGTACCAGTACTTTGCTGGTGTTGCCGTGGAACTTTGAATGGTGGGTTGGATACCAGTGAACCTGCAGTATATGCCAAATGGCATTCTGAGATAACTCTGGCGTGATCAGAAAAAAGACTGGCAAGGAGCGGCTGACACATGTTCTTATGACATGTCAGTAGGCATGTGTTGCTTGGGACTTTGCTTGATTGAAGATCAGGCCGTTATTCACTGCAGTTTGAGGCTCCCACCCAACCCTCCGCGGATTAAGTTCCGGCGAGGCGGAAGGGGTCTCTTGTTGCGCAGTGAATGGCTGCTGGTTCCAACCTTTCTTTGTTTGACCAGCGATCGCTGGGGCAGCTATCCATGGACCATGGATGTACCAGTACTTTGCTGGTGTTGCCGTGGAACTTTGAATGGTGGGTTGGATACCAGTGAACCTGCAGTATATGCCAAATGGCATTCTGAGACAACTCTGGCGTGATCAGAAAAAAGACTGGCAAGGAGCGGCTGACACATGGCTATGTTAAATAACCAAAGTGTAGGTCACCTCAACGGACTATTTGCAAAAGCAGGTACTGGTGCCTGCGCTTTGCTGGGATCTCACACATAAGTAAACAAATCTACTATGCACCCTTGCTCAGGTACACCCAGTCCTAAACCACCAAAGTGAAACTGAATTGGGATCCCCAATGGAAACATCACTATTGAACCAATTGAACCAGATTGAACATGTATTTCTTGTATTGTTTGAGCTCGTTTTGTCGGCTATCTACCTATATTTTGGATATTTCGGGCTATTTATCATGATACTTTGGATGGTATTTTCAAATTGAAGTCACTTCTATCTCAGTTTTTTTTTGTGCTTTCTCCTGCCAGATCATTCCGCCATTTGGGAAGCGTTTTGGAAGAGCACGGCAAGGCGAAGTGCGCTTCGCGGCGAAGCCGTGAACCGACTGGATGGGCTGGTGGTGGCATCCCGCGGATGAGTGATTTAGTCAGCATAGCTTGCCCACACATATACATACCTACCTACCTACCTACCTACCTGCCTACCTGCCTACCTGCCTACCTGCCTACCTGCCTACCTGCCTACCTGCCTACCTGCCTACCTGCCTACTTGCCTACCTGCGTACCTGCCTACCTGCCTACCTGCCTTCATGCATATATATAAGTGCGTGTATATATATATATATATGTATATGTATATATATATATATATGTATATGTATATATATATATATGTATGTATATATATATATATATGTATGTCATTATATATATGTATATATATAATGACATGAAACAAGCCTATGAGGGGACGTACGTTCACAAGGGCAAGTTTGGTGGGATGATCATGTTTACCATAAGCCATAGCTATTCAGCTTAACGACACATGGTTTTAGGGCTGGTCATGGGGGATTTATCATGATTTACCTGGTAAAAATGGAGAAATCACCAAAACAAAGGAGTTGCAAACTTGGTCTTTAGTATGGATTGTGTGTGACCATGGCCACTGTTGAGAAAACTGCGAGCTCTCCCAAATTGTTTTGCTGATTTATTTGCGTTTGCGAAAGTTTTCTTCGCGGAAAGTTCATGTTGACGGTTCTTCATATGCAATGTTTCTATGAACTAGTGGGGTGGTGTTGCGAAGAGCATTAGAAGTGAGAATGATTGCTAAGGGTTGCGTTGTGGTAAGAACACCTGTAACTAAAGCTGTAAGTAAAGTTGCAAGTAAAACTGTAACTAAAGCTGTACAACCCTCAACCCACACATGGCTGCAACTGGTAAGCACTGCACCCCCAGGCAATAAAGGAAGGAGTGGGGGTAGGCAAGCAAAGAGAAGCAAAAGGCAGAAACGCATAGCATTCGGGATTGTGGTACACTAAACGTTTTTCGCACTGATACACTGATACTCAATCCACACCGCGCCCAGCGATACACCGATTTACCGATTTTAAGAATGTAGTTGGGATGATGATCCCCAATGATTAACCTTTTTTTGGGTTGAAGCCAAAAAATGTCATCCTTGAAATCCCCTCTGGTAATTTGTTACATAGCTATAGAAAATCACTATTTGTTATGGGGTTATATCCACTATTTCTATGGTCATTTTCAATAGCTAGTTTGTTAAATAACCAGGTCGGGTAAATCCCATTAAATCCCATTAAACCACCATTTTCCTTGGGTTTTCCTATGATTTTCCCATTCATCCATGATTTCCCATAGGGTTTTCCCAAGTTTTTCCCTGCGCTCACACCATGGGTTTGTTGCCCCCTGGAGGCCTTGGACCACTTTCAGGTGGCGTTGCAATCCGCACAAGCGGCCGCCGGCCGAAGTTTCGTGTCCCGCACTGCGGTGCCGGTGCGGAGAAGCTTGGCGAAGATCGGATAGCTATGGGTGGCCGTTCATGAAAAACTTAGTATTTTTCAGGTGAGTATTTGGGATAACCGTTGTGATAGCATCATTTAACATCATTTAACTCAGTATCTGGTTAGCATATATCTATATATATCTTACTATCCAACAAACAGTGTCCGTTTATCATCCAACCATTTCAATTTCTTTGGGATAACCGTTGTGATCCCTTAAGGCTGTGGCGTTTGGGATTCCATAGGGATTCAACCATCGTCGTTTTTGACAAAAATCCATGGGATGGTTTCTGCCCAGAAAGTACTTGGGGATTTCTGATTATGGCAATTGCAATACCAAAAAATATGGGATAAGATGGGTATGGCAATCTGTTTCCATGCATTTTTCTGGTTGTGTATGGGGATTGTGAACAGATTATGGTAGTTGCAATACCCATCAACCAAGCTGTGGAGAGGAATAAACAAAAACGAGGTTTTTGAACATTTCTACGGTGAACTATGGATGTACTATGGGTGATAGCGATGACAGCGACGTTTTATAATAACTGTTCGGTGGTTTGCAACCATGGAATTTTATGACTTTCCCATCATATTGAGAAGAATAATCCCAACTGACTTTCACTCCATCATTTTTCAGAGTGGTAGGTCCGCCGCAATACAGGCAGCTCATGTCTTCAACAAAAAATCATCTCTTGTGTTTGAGTTCATCAAAACATATATTAACCATATATATAATAACCATATATTAACCATTATTAACAGTATATTAACAGTATACCACCAACCAGGGTGGCAAAATTTCCATTGGTTTTTACCCTTTTCTGTTGTGGCAAACCATGGGATCTGTGCGTAACTTTGTATATTGTTTTGTCTGAAACAATATTCAACGTTTAGCACCCCAAAATTGAATGATCTAGAACCCCAAACTCCGAGAACTCCACATTTTTCAATGGATTTTAACGGCAAACTTGAAGTATTTATCGATTTCAACCAACACCTCCCACGGCCGTTTTGTGGCGGTCCGTGCCACCCAGGATACGGAGGGAACTTCGTGGTGTGTCTTCGAGCAGTTTTCGGCCACTGGGATTGGACAAAAGCCCGGTTGGTTGACGAGTAGTTTGTCAGTTAATAAAGGTTTCAAACATCAAACTCTGGAGATATAAGTGGATATGGGTATGGGTCAATACCTATTAATACCATTTTTAGTGGGATGAACATCCATTTACCAGCTATTTTGGGGTTCACTCGGTACCAGGGTTTTGACCCATCCCCATATAGCTGAATATGGTTGGTTGATAGTTGATCATAGTTAAAAAAAAGATTATGATCATACTATCCAGTATTACAGATTATCATCATCCATTGTGGAAATCCCATTCTTAACAAACTAGCGGCTAGAACAATTAAACGACAGAGGGTTTTGAGCAATGCTAGGTGAGATATTGACTTGGCCGCGTCCTTTCGAACATTATTTTCCATGGCAATGCCCAAGTGATATGTTGAGTACAACCTACCTTTAATGGACATACCATTGAGTGATGGATAGCAGTTGATTTAGGGGAACTTATTTTCCGACAAACCCTTCGTGACTGAAAAAAACAAGATATGATTCACGATATGTACATAACATGTTTAACGAGGAAAAACAATGCAACTGCCAACAGATATTTGGTTGTTGTGATGCATGTGATGCCAACCCCCACTGCTGGCTCGGACAGAAAATGGAGCCCACTAAATCACAGACATGGAAACCTCTGTGGCTTTTTTTAATTCTAAGAATTGCTACAAAAATAACGGGAAAACTTCATATTTGAACGGTAATTGACCAGGTTTTCCCCTGTGTCCATTAGAAATCTGGAATTTGACATCATTTGACTTCCCTCCTGGATGGAGTCCGTTAATGTGCCCAGATGGACTTTGTCACCGAAGCCTGTTCTCGAGCGAGCCCTGGAAATCATCGTTTAAATTTTAATGGGGAATCATCCCCATAGCTGGCCGCAAGATTCAGGTTAGTGACATATTATTTCATTTACCCAGATATATAGATGTATTAAATTATATAAAGATAAATAAAGATATTATAATATACCCAGATGTATATAGTGAATTTACCCAGATAGATGTAACATGATTTGTTGCCCAATTGCCAACCCTTGGGTTGAAGTTGAAAGTAAGATTCGCATCTCCAGGGGTTGGGCCTAGCAGTGCCTGGCACATCTGAAATGGGCGGGGTTCAAAAACGTTCAAAAACACCACTTGATGATTGCAAGAGGTTCTACTATATACCATATACCCTCTGGTTATTTGTTACATAGCCATGGAAAATGGATGAAAATGGCCCATTTATAGATGGTTTACCTATTAATTTCATGGTGATTTTCCATGGCAAACTGTTAGTCATAACCAGATGGTACCCTTTATGTATTGAAATTGTCACGTCATCTCAGTCATCTAATTTCACTGGGAATCCTGTTCTGAACCAACGGTTTTTTCATCACATCCCCCTAACATTAAGCCTATTAAGCACGCCTAAATCTACCATGTGTAAATCACCAACCATGATTTCTCCGGGTTGTTCGATCTTGGGAAGGTAACCCCTCGATTATGATTATGTCGATGTCAAGATTCCGGGCAGATTCGGGTCCTCCCAGACGTCAGGTAACCCCTCGATCAATGAGGAGCACTTGGAGCAAATGCTTCAAGATCAGGAGATTGGCCGGCCAAGTGGGCATGGTCTTTCAATGGGATCAGAAGCGGGTTTCACCATCTGTTTGATTTTCTGGGGATTTATAGAGCGGGGATAGAGCCGGCGATTTTGTTTGGTGTATATACAAATGAACTTGATATGATACCCTCTGGTAAACATACAACAAACTATGGACAATTACAATTTTTGATGGAAAAATCAACGAACTAAATGGCCATTTTCAATAACAAACTGTAAACGTTTACCAGGTCGGGTAGATGGGGTGTGTGAAAACTGATCCCAGGGACAGTGATGGAAGCCAAATGGATGGAATTTGGGTACCCGACCTGGTAAACATACAAAAAGCTATTGAACATGGCCATAGAAATAATGGATTTTCCCAGCTATAAAATGGTGATTTTCCATAGTTTTTTGTATATTTATCAGAGGGTACCTCAAGTTGGTGGCAAATTTCGCACGAGATGGGAGCAGCAAGTAGATGGAACTCTTTGATTGCAGCAATGAAGTAGCAAACACATGCAAAAAACTATATCAATGGAGAGGCAAACACGTAAAGCTACTGGCAATGGAATCCCGTTTGAAGATGATATTCCTTTTCAAAAATGTGTTTCTCTTCCCAAAGGGTAGGTAGAGTTGTTGCCCAAATATAGCATGGTGGAAAAAAGAAGAGATATTCAGCAGAACATGTGAACTAGAATGCACAACACACAAGTGCCTTGTATGTGCGTAGCGGTTTATTGCAATTTTGCTGCTTCCATTTGAAGCCACGGACCTGCATTTGTACTACTTCTGGTGCTCATTTGTGCGCGTATCGTGTCCATGGGTTAAAGCCCTCCTGAATTCATGGAATGTCCCCTGTTGGGTCATATGAACCACTGACTAAGTGAGGTATGTGGGATGCACATCCTGAAAATCTTTACATGTCAGGCGATCTGAGATAGACAGGGGTTTTGTTGCCCATTCACCGACGAATTACTAAATGGGGCGATCCTCCAAATAGTGTTTCTGATCGTGTCCCAGATGACCAGATGGAAGCACAAACGCCCCCAGGATGAAGAATCACTGAGTTTCTGGTTCGCATTCGGTGGTCAAAACTTGACACCTCAATCTCAAGAACAACAAACAGAACAACATCGATCGAAAGAAGTGGCTTAGTGGCTTCAACTTATTTGGCATGTTGAAACCATAAAATGGTTCATCACCCCCATTAACTATAGTTACATCCATCATACCCTCTGGTAATTTAACATAGCTATTGAAAATGGCAATTTATAGTGAGTTTTCCCATTAAACATGATGATTTCCCATAGTTATGTTAGTTTACCAGAGGGTAAATCCTAGTAAACCCAATGGCAGTCATATTTGTCCCCATACCGAAGCGCACGGCACGGTGATGGAAAAAATATCCTGCTTCAGGAGAGGCACGCATCCGAACTGGAGAAGTTTCTTTTCTCAACCGCAATCGATATTGAGACTTGGTAAAGATTCATGGTATAACGGTATAACATACAATTTTCCCCATAATTTAATGGGTGAATATATGGCTATGGATCAATACCTATAGATACATTTTTAGTGGGATGAACATCCATTTACCAGCTATTTTGGGGTTCACTCGGTACCAGGGTTTTGACCCATCCCCATATGGTTTATAATATCAAATAGATTCATATGGGGGATTCCATAGTCATGGGGGTACCCCAAGCTCGCTGGATGCTTTATTTCACGGACAATCCGATCTATAAATGGATGATGACTGTACCCCTATTTTAGGAAAGCTCCATATATTGGTTTTTGAGACCCTCCAAGTATCTAAAAAAAGATGTTTTTTTTTTCAGAATGGGTAAGTTGGTCCCTTAAAATAATGGGTTATTAGCTGATAATTCAAGGTTATATAGATAATACCCTCTGGAAAACTAACAGAACTATGGAACATCACCATTTTTTAAATGGTAAATCAACTATTTCGACTTGGCCATGGCTTCCATGTCGCAAACTGTAAACGTTTTTTCGAGGTCGGGTTTTTGGTCATGTTCCCAGTAACCCGGGTTTTTTCAACGGGAAAATCTTGAGGATCATCGCCATGCCAATCCATTGAATGGTGATTAGGATTATTGGCTACCATAATCCAGTTACCCGACCTGGTAAACATACAAAAAAACTATAGAAAATCACCATGAAATTAAGAACGGTAAATCAACTATAAATGGGCCATTTTAATTACCAGAGGGTATTGGGTACCATAATCCAATGATTGGGTAGCATAATCCAATTATTGGGTATAATGGGAAACTAATTGATTATTGGATGGGGAAATTGTTTTAGATTATTGATTTGTTAATGGTCAATGGTGATTAATGGTGATTAGATTTACAATAGATCATAATCAACTTTCCATCAAACCAATGGTGATTGATCAGACAATGGGACATAGATGTGCTTTTTCCATTGGTTGGTTGATTTTTCTAGAGGGGTTTGAAGGTTTACCCCTTTAACAACAGGTTTCTATGATGACAGATGGGATTAACCAGCTCCCGGCCCCTCTATTTTTACCAAAAGGACATTATTGCAATGGGAAATTGTTTTATGGGATTTTTGGGTACCTTAATCACAGACAACTTCGATCTGCCTTCTGCACGCCTGAACTCGCGTTTTACGCTTAAACACGGACAACTCTCAATGATGAAAGAAATAACCATACACCCTTGTTTTTTTAAATAAATCATTGTCACATATATGTATATGTATGTATATACACATACAAACATGTATTTAAGAGCCTTCGGCTATGCCGCCGGCCTCTGGCCCAGTGGCCTAATGATTGTGGGCAAGGCGCTTTGCCTGTAGAATAGTACAATGATGTAAAATGTCTTTGTGCTTCTTGATGTTTTTAGTCTTCTTGGTGTAAATGCTTGATGTGTACCCTCTGGTAATTTGTTACATAGCGACATAGAAAATGGCCCAGTCGAAATAGTGAGTTTTCCCAGCTATAACATGGTGATTTTCCCATCAGTTTTTTTGTATGTTTACCAGGTCGGGTAATGATTTCTGGAAATCCACCGGCGTCTATCCACGGGGCTGGCGGATCCCATGGGAAACGATGGAAACATCGGTGAAAGCCATGGAAGAATCGGCAAAATCCATCAAGAAATTGAAACGATGAACAACATGGAAAGACACCATGGAAACATTGATGAAAATCAGGGAAAACTCGATGAAACCCACGGTAAGCATGATAAACCGATAAATGAAAAGTATGGAGCCGAGTAGTGCAATTTGTTTATCTTCACCGGTCTGGGCGGTCATTTCCCAATTTTGCTTGGCTGTTGATGTCCATTTCAGCTTCTTAGTTCCCCCAAATCCCTCTTTCTACTGGTCAACCAAATGTTGGTAAAGCAATGGCGCCAGTGAGTAAGTAGTTGGGGGCGCGAGTGAGTAGTTGGGGGCGCAAGTGAGTAGGGGGCGCAAGTGAGAAAATTTTGGGGGCATGGTGTGGTGTACTTTGTAGTGCATTGTAGCGTACTGTAGTGTAGAGTGGTATAATGTAGTGTAGTCTAGTGTATTGTAGCGTAAAGTAGTGTAGTTGTAGTTGTAGTGTCGTGTCGTGTAGTGCAATGTAGTGGTAGTTGCAGTTGTAGTGTAATGTAATGCAATTAGTGTAGTGTAGTGTTGTGTGATGTAGTTGTAGTTGTATTCGTACTTGTAGCTGTACTGTACTGCAGTTTAATTCGCGTATTGTAGTGTAATGTAGTGTAGCTGTAATTGTAGTTGTAGCTGTGGTGATGGTGGTGGTAGTAGTAGTAGTAGAAGAAATAGGAGTAGGAGTAGGAGTAGAAGTAGGAGTAGGAGGAGTAGTAGTAGTAGTAGCAGCAGTAGTTTCAGTAGTTTCAGTAGTGGTAGTGGTAGTAGTGGTAGTAGTGGTAGTAGTGGTAGTAGTGGTAGTAGTGGAAGTAGTGGTAGTAGTGGTAGTAGTGGTGGTGGTAGTGGTAGTGGTAGTGGTAGTGGTAATGGTAGTGGTAGTGGTAGTGGTAGTGCTAGTGGTAGTGGTAGTGGTAGTGGTCGTTGTCGTCGTAGTAGGTAGTAGGTAGTAGGTAGTAGGTAGTAGGTAGTAGGTAGTAGGATAAAGCAACGGATCAGGAAATGATAGAGTTTTTATCTGATTTAGGCAGGAAAATGTCTGATACTGGGGAGTTTAATTTCTATGGCGCATACAAAATACCCCCTGAACTTATTCAATCCATAGCTATATATCCAGATGGTAGAGAAAATAATAGAATAGAGATTAGTATTCAAGAGTTAATCACAAGTTTAAATCAAGGAAGTTTAGAACTGTATAAGTTTGCAAAAGATAATGTACCTACATTATTTAATAGCTATAGTTTTGTTAACTTTGTTATGTCACAAGTAGCGGATGAAACGATTCGTCAGCAGTTGAAAGAAAATCACTTAGACACTCACTGTAAGTTACCATTGCTTCACAGTTATATTAAGTCTATAGCTGAGCGAAATCAAGCAGCAAGGTAAGCCCAGCCAACAAGATTGGCAGATAAAACAGAGGGTTCCGCTAGTGCATTGGGTCTGAGTGGTTTGCGGCATAGTATTTAACCTGGCATATTTGAGTATGTATAGGTTGTTTTTGATGGTACTTGCATGAATCTCTTCAAAATCAATTTCTAGAAACACTCAAGACTTAAAATGGGTGATACTGTTCAATGTCTAGGGTCGATAGAGTTTGTAATCGGCGGGGTTAAATGATTATAATCCATCACACAGGCGATGGTCATGGAATGCAGCTTATGCTTGGCCGATTCCACTGTATTGCATTTGATTAATTTTTCCTGCAAACTCATTCCGGCATGTTTTAGTATCTCAATGTTTTCTGCGCTTTGCAATGCAACAGATAGAATTTCAGCGTCGTTTCTCAGCTCCTGTGAGGCAAATTGTAATGCCGTGCCATTTTGTTGTACCGCAGCCAATACAATATCGCGCTGATTTTTGTATTTACTGGGCGCAAACTCTAATGCCAAGCCGTTTTGTTGAATTGCCGACTGGATCAATGCTATGTCATCTTTATACTGACTGGGCAGGTGTTCTAGAGCCAGACCATTTTGTTGAATGGCAGCTTGGATCATGTTTTGGGTAAGACGGTGGTTGTAATATGTTATTCTTTGGCCATCTTCTTGACTAAATATGCTTTGAGGCTCGTCATTGGTAAAGGTCAAATTGGCAAAGATGGGTTGAAATGCATAGTCTTTGGCTATCAACTCAAGCAACAGTAAAGCTTCGGGTTTCCAGCCATGTAAAAAATACGCTTGACTTTCCAGTTTGATGTCTAGAAATTCATGCCGAATGCATTCCAGCATTTCCTCATAGGCGGGTGATTTAAAGCAATCCAAATCTGTACTTTGGCAGTTTGCTTCTGCAATTCTACGCACTTTCAGTAGTTCTATGCATTTTTCATCATTTTTCCAATAGAATTTGGCTGCCAAATCGCTTGATCATGGCGTTTTTTTTAATTTTAGCAGATTGTATTCTTCATCTATATTGTCAATTTTATTAATGTCGATGTCTCGCATTTCCTTCTTGTTGGCGCAATAAATCTGCGTTTTTTTGTCTTCAAAATGACTTGGTAAGTCAAAATGATTTGTTTTGGCATAAATCATAAAAAATGCTGCATTTCTTCAATCATGATTTTTGCGGTTTCATCCGCTTTAGGATGGTGAACCTCAATATCATAATTTTCCTGTTCGAGTTTGATGTATTCAGATTGTTTGTAGGCATATTGGACTTTGCGTTCTTTATATAGACTGTTGGCATAGCGTTTCAGAGCTGCAAACAACACTTTGCGTTCCAAACATTTTAAGCCGACCTGTGCCATGGAACAGATGTGGCTTGTATATATTGTAGTAAAGCCTCACAGCTGTGGTTGCAATTATTTTTCCCTGGCTCGTGACTAAATAGATTGTTCAATATTCTGCAATGGTTACTAATGTCACTAGCTTTAATCAGTTCTGTTGTCATGCCAAAATCTCTTCTAGCTTTCAGGCTTAAATCTGATCTTAAATATAGCATCGCTTGCTACTTGGCTGGGGAAAATATTTTAAGGTAAAAAACAGCCAACTAATTGGCTGTTTTTTCTATGATTTAATCAATGATATTTTTGTATTGGAACAAAACTTTGACATGCTGCCTGCTGGCATCATTTTTAAACTGCGTTGTTGCTAAATGCACTGGCTTAACAGCATGGCACCCAGTGCTTTAAGTACATACACCCATTGCATACCCAAACCCTTGTCCACTGAATCCTTTGACCCTTGAATGTAATTTTGTTATATTCTGTTGGCTTCAATACTGATGAGACATAATGTCGAAACACTCAATAGGTGAGTGTCTATTGAAGATTGCACGATCTGAACAGTGCTAAGTACAGGGCCTTAGATGCCTGACTTTCGAAGTTCCAGAGGAACAGC